GCTATCTAACTCACACAAGCATACAAAACACAAAATGATTTTTTTTATTTTTTTTAACAGTGCACACAAATAAGAAAATTTTTAAAAAAAAATGCACACAAAATAAAAAAAAAATATGTAGGCAATTAGACAATTTATGATACACCCCAAATTTAAACTAAACATAGTTCCCAATGGTAAATTAAAAGAAAATGAGGAAAACTTCCCTGAATTGTCAATGATGGTCTGGTGCTTTGATGCTGGACTTGATTGATACTTCTTCTAGTTTTTCTCCCAAACTTGATATTTATCCAGTTACTCCTCGTCAATGTTGGTTCGATTGTTCCGCGACGTCATGTTCCTGAAAATTCAAAATGTAGATATGAAATTCATGGAACAAGTGTTACTTAGCTCGAATAGCTAATAACCAACTTGACTACTCAAAGACCTAAGGGGGACGGGGTAGGACTGATGAATTCCTAAATAAAAAACTTTGAAATAAAATAAACTCTCCTATGATTTAAAAGAAATAAAATAAAATAAGTGAAAAGGTAAGAACGCTTGGGTTGCTTCCCAAGAAGTGCTTCTTTATAGTCACTAGCTTGACTCAACCGCAATGCCTACGGTGGATCCTCAGGTGGCACATTTATCTTGTTTCCGAACTTTATCATTGGCTTTGTATTCTCCTTCATTGTAATATGGCGAACAAACTTAGGTTGTTTTGACCCCGGTATGACTTTCAAGACCTCTTTTGGTTTGGCAATGTTTGGAGGTTTCAAAGGCCTATCCACGTAGCTCTCTTTTTTGTCAAGTGGGTCAGCTTCTTGGGCTAAGATGAAATTCACCACCTTCTTGGTTTCTGAGTCATTATCATTAGTAGATGCATCCCTTGCTGAGTAACTAACTGCCATGTATTGAACTAAAGGATCATAAAATAATTTTCCTTTTCCTCTATTTCCTGTAATTACTTCAGCTGATTGGATCATTTTGCAAGTGTCAACTTTTCCTTTTTCTGGGGCTTTCTTTTCTTGATGGATGTTGAAAGTTACTTGCTCTTCACTATCTCGTAGTATCAACTTCCCTTCTTGCACATCAATCAATGCTTTTCCAATAGCCAGGAAAGGTCGACCAAGAATTGACGGTACTTTCTCATGCTCCTCCGTGTCCAACACCACAAAGTCCACCAGAAAGATGAACTTATCAACCTTCACCAACACATCTTCAATAATGCTCTTGGGATATGTGATCGATCTGTCTGCCAGTTGCAAGGTAAGGGTTGTGGGTTTCACTTCTCTAAGACCCAGCTTTTTGAACACTGATAAAGGCATCAAGTTTATGCTTCCTCCAAGGTAACGCAGTGCCCCATCAAATGTGATACCACCAATATTGCACAAGTGTTGAAGCTGCCCAAATCTTTCAATTTGTAAGGAAGCTTCTTCTGAAGTATGGCACTACACTCCTCTGTTAGCTTAACAATCTCGAACTCCTCCAACTTTCTCTTCTTTGACATCACTTTTTTTAGGAACTTGGCATAGTTAGGCATTTGGGCCAAGGCTTTTGCAAAGGGAATGTTGATGTGGATTTTCTTGAAGACCTCCAGAAACTTTGCGAATTTTTCATAAAACTCTTTCTTCAAATACCTTTGCGGAAATGGTAGTAGGGGCTTTAAGATAGGTGGGTTGTCCGGAAATGAAATTGAGTAAGGCTTATAAATCTTCTTTGTTGCCTCTGCCTCAGTTTTCTACCCTCCAGTCTACTTTTTCCCTGCAAGTATGGGATCCGATGTATGCATCCCAACCTCTCTAAGTTTGCATTCTTCAACTACTTTACCACTCCTAAAGGTGATACTATTGCAGTGTTCCCGTGGGTTAACCTCTATGTCATTGGGAAATTTTCCTTTCTGTTGGGACTGTATCGTAGTTGCTATCTGACCAATCTGTACCTCCAAATTCTTCACCGTGGACCCCAAGTTGGACATATGAGTTTCAACGTTTTCAAGTCTTGCCTCATCTTTGTTGAACCTAGATCTGGTCTCTGAAATGAAGGTTCCTAAAATATCTTCCAATGATGGCTTTCGTTCAGACGCCTGATTATTGAACCCCTAATAGTAGTTGTCTCTTAAGTAGTTTCCCTTTTGATTGAAGTTCTGGTCATTTACATACTGAAGTTGTTCATTCTCCCTTTCAGTGGATATAGCCATAATAGATTCTGATTTCTTTTGTGATCTATGTAAAGTCAATGCAGCTATTTGATTAGTGAGATATGACATTTGAGTTGCAATGGCGGTAATAGGATCCACCTCATAAAGGCCAGCAACTTTCTTTGCACTTAAACGCTAACTCGGCTATTGATAGTTATTAATAGCTATCTCATCCAATAATGCATAAACCTCATTTGGAGTTTTGGATAATAATGTACCCCCTACTGCAGAATCTACCACTAATTGTGTCTAACCATTCAAACCATTGTAGAAGGTTTGTATCCGCAACCAATCCAGGTAACCATGCTGAGGACATCTTCTAAATAGATCTTTATATCTCTCCCATGCCTCATGGAACGGTTCAAAGTCTGACTGTCGGAACTGCCCAATTTCACCTTGTAATTGCGCTGCCTTTGAAGGTGGAAAAAATTTTGTAAGAAACTTCTGCGCTAACCCCTCCCAAGTTGTGATGGATCCATACGGCAATGATTGGAACCATGCTTTGGCTTTGTCACTTAATGAAAAGGAAAATAGACGGAGTCGAATTGTATCTTCAGTAACGCCATTCATTTTCACTGCATCAAGATCTCCAAAAAGGACCCCAGATGGGCATTTGGGTTTTCTGTTGGAGCTTTCCCAAACTGATTTTGTTGTACCATGTGTATAAGTCCTGGCTTCAGTTCAAAGTTGTTAGCAACAATAGCTGGGCGTGCAATATCAGAGTAATTTTCGTTGACAACTAGTCTGATATAGTCCCTTATAGCCCGTTGTTTGGCCATTACTTCATGGTTGTGTCTCTGAATACCCCTTAGAAATCTGAAGGTTCGTTCTGGTTCAGGATCAACAGGTAGTAGTCCAACGCTTCCAATCTTCGTATAAACCTGAAACAGGTTTTGCAAAACAATTTAAAAGAAAAAATCTAAATTAAAATAGAAATTACTCGGTAATAATATTAGCAAAAATTAAATTGAACAATTCCAGACAACAGCACCAAAAACTTGCCAAGCGATTTATTTAACGTGATTTATACCGCAAGTGTACGGTGTCAAGTTTTGTAATATAGTAAAGGAGTTAGGATGTCGAATCCACAGGGATTGTAATTTTATTTTTACTAAGTACTATAATTGTGTAATTCCTACTTTATTTAGATAAACGGATGATTGAATGATTGTGATAAACTAATGTAATGTGATTCGTTGTGACAAAGTTGATGAATGCAAATTATCAATATGAGAAGGCTTAGGGATTGAATTTACCTTACTCTCAATTACGATTCAACGATTTCCAATTATTCCAATTAATTTTTCTATATTTAAAAGCATGAATCCTAATATATTCCTCTTCCCTCTCTTTAGTGCCGGCTAGAAAATAATCCTAGATTCCAATTCCAATATCTCCATTCCAAATTGAAAATCAAGAAATTATAAAAGTCCCAATTCTTTTATGGAGTAAGCTTCACAGATTTTATACTTTCTTTCGAAACCCATAAAATCTATGTTGTGTTAATCTTATGATCACGCCTATATTTCCCTCTTTCGAGTGCCGAAATTGACTAGCATCTATTCATAAAATTATTGATCAAGTAATTGAAAACATTAAAATCATAACACAATTAAATATATGCGGAAAAATCAAAAAATTATTATAAAATCATCAAACCATAATCTTGATTCGACTACATCAAAACCCTAGATAATTTGTTTAGTTCATGATGTAATAAATGAAAATCATACAAATTATAATAAACAACATAAGGAAAATGATAGAAAAACTAGTCTTTTGGGTAAATCTTCAATCTTCTTCCTTGATGTTGTTCCTCCTTCCTTTTGGTGTCTTCAATTTTTGCATCCTTCAAATTGTGTGGTTGAATTCTTCAATCTTGCCCTCCTTCAATTATTCCTGAAATAAGTCTTTTAAATGGTATTTATAGTATCTTGAAGTTCTTGGACGAATTAGGGTTTAGTTGGGCCAAGAAAAGATTCCAAAAATATAAAAAAAAACCCATTTTCCGCACAGGCGGAGCCTCAGTACCCAAGACGTGCACTGCGACACCGCGTTCGCTACTGTTTTCAGCATCGTGGGCGTTGCGGCGCCTACTTCGGGTGGAAAAGGTAGTTTTGTCTCCTTCAGTATTTTTATCGTAACTTCTTCGTCTAATGTCAGATTGAAGTGATTCAAGATGAATTGGAAAGCTAACTTAAAGAGCTACAACTTTGATTCAGACATAATTCTCCAGTTCGATCGTTTGCTATGTCAAAAATGAGTCTCAATGTGAGACTGAAATTCTGGAGCATAACTTTTCGGTTGGAAATTGATTTGTGATCATATTTTAAATAAATTTGATCCCTTTGACATCTTTCTTCATCCAATTGACTCTTAACACTCTCTGATCTTTATCGTGAGATTCGACACAACTTTTGAATATTTACACTTTAGTCCCCGAATTTTGGGTCTATTACAATTTGGCCATTTTTCTCCAATTTCGCCAACTTTTGCTTATTTCTTTCAATTTCATCAACCTACATCACAACATCAAAACACTCATTAAAACTCTCTAAAACACTCTCAAGGGTAGCAAAATAACGAATTAAGTGGTACAAATATAATGAGTATGGAGCACTCATTAACCACATATGTCAATGTGATATTTTCTTAAATTCTTAGAATTCTGCAACTACATTCCCTACAAGATAGAGAACTCATCGGTCTGGAAGCTTTGAGAAAGTCAAATTGTTATCGCCACAACTTGCGGTCCAATATAAGATCATTTACTCACACAAAAAAGTTAGGTATGGCTATAAATTATTATTGGATTCTGATATTGAACTCATGTACAAGAAGAAAACAATATACAATAATATGGCGTTTATATAACATTCTAGTTTCCCACACAAACTATTAGGTAAGTGAACATCACAAAACAAATAGTTTTACAATCATTGCTATTGTATACATCCGCTTGATCTCAATAACGAAATACACTATAATATTAACATATGAAAGCCAAAAATTGATTATGTACGCAATACCTAGTAACCTGGCTGATGATCTAATTCAGTGTTCTTTCAGCTTTTTCAAGTTCTTCAACGAAATGATGCACACTTCGTTCGGTTGGCGAGCCGGGTACGAAAGGAACGAAACCACGTCCACCAAAAACAGGACGCATAAAAGCATTATCGAATTTTCTCCAATAATAATGGATAGTACGAGGGGATAGGAGCATCCGTAAACTGTTTGGACGGGGCACATTTTGGCCAACTCCACTAGCTTCTGAAGTTGGTCCGTTTGCTATACTTTGTCCATAAAGATCGGTTAAGGAGTCCTGCTCACCGCCAAGAAGTGGCGGCGTGATGGTATGCGAGGTAACTGGCTCCGATGAAATCATTCTAGTTAATTGTTTTGATGAAGGCAATAAGAACCTCACCAGAGGTTTAGTGATCAAGCCAAACACCTGTAATAGACCCGAAAGGCCATATGTTCATATCCTTTGATAATAAATGAAGTATAAAAGTCATGTATTGAACTGTATAAAAGTCATGTATTGAACTATCTCATCTAAAAGTTTACAATGTCAAAGAGAAGAAATTTCTCTAAATAGATTATTGAGCAGTTAAAGGTCCGGTATTCAAGTCTTGGAGTCTCCTATTTAAAAGTTAAGCATGCATTTTGTCTTAGACCAGGTGTTTCGAACATTTTGGGATTGCACTAAGTGAAAATTACAAAATTAGAAAGATGGATTTCCAAAGAATGCTGACCCAATTGTGTATCCTACCAAGTAGTTTTCAAAAGCTTGAGATGTCTTACCACGGTGCTGAAAAGAACAACTATAATGGTACTGGTAATCATGATAGCATTATCACGTACATTGGTGTGCCCCGAACTCGTAAACTGCACGAGTGAAATGCAAAATTCAGTTAGAATTCCTTCAATATGGAATACGAACTTACCAACCCTTTGTCCTTTTGTGGAACACGTCAATAGAACTGCATTATCAATCTACGCAAAGGTCATGGAATTATTTGTGAATCTTAAAGAAGGGAAAAGGACTTGAACATAATGTTTTAATAACTAAGATTAAGCCCTTGCTTGATCCACATTCTTTCAAAAAAGTACATTCTTAGACAGTGATTTGATGTCATTTCAACCACACATTCTTCAATAAAATAACATTACACGCAAATCCAAAACTTTTCCTTATTTTTTAACCATACATTTTTCATCAATACACTATTCAAAAATACATTCTT